AACTCAGCTTAGTATCTTCTCCCTCTGTCAGTTCACAATTGGTAGCAGACAAAATTTAGCTCTCATTTATACCTGTGCAATCCTGTATCTTCAGGATATGTCCCTCAATGTGTGCGCAATTCCCCCTGCTTTCAGTAGACTAACACAAGTGAAACTGATTGGAACTTTCCTCAATTTTTTTCTGGTGATGCACAAAACAGAAAATGCTTACACACTATCTCTTACCTGTGCCGGCTCTCCAGAAGTAAAAGCAATGTATTTATTCATTTGCCCTGACATCAATAGCTATAACTACTATAGAGCAGGTCTGTCAAGTACGAAAGTGCCATTTCTACATTAATTTTTTAGAATAATTGTTACTTCACTCTAACTATTAGTGGAATTATAGCAATCATACACTAAGTTCAGTTTAGCAGTCTCTCCTTTTCCAGAGCTTCTTCAGAGGAAATTTCTGAAGTGGGTTGGTGAAAGCTAGATAATAGCCACTCCCATCAAGAAATACTTACTATTTACACAGTAGTTTTTGGGCTGTACACTAGAAAATTATGTTTCCTGCATATTTTGCCCCTCAGAATGATACTGCATATTTCAGAGACCTTCTGTGCTCATTTACTGGTAGCAAAAGAATTCGCAGATACAGTAGTCAGATTTTCCCTAGTCCTACATCTGAAATTGACCCTTTTCCTTTTCTTCTTAGCTGCATACACCCTATTACATGGGTAACTCCATTAAGATGGTGAATGGTCTCTTCTTGGGAGTTCTATGCTCTGGATGACATGAAGTGCTCCTAATATAAACATCCACTATCCTCTCCCTAGGTCCTATTCACAATATTTCTGTCAAATGTTTCAGCTATAATAGTGTCAGATATGAAAGTACAAGATGGCTCAAATCTTAAGTGCTGTTGAATGAACAGGAGGTGAAAGAAATGCCCCCTGTACTCCAGCACATAATTGTACTGAGTGCTACAAAACTGTGAAGGTGAGATGCAATGTTATTTACCATTCTGAAGAAAAGCCGACCCTAAATATTTTAAAGAGAACTTTTGATAGCCTCACACAAGGATTTGTGAATGGAGAACTTACCTGAAGCAAGTTCTGCAGCTGATCCAACAGGTGGGGGCCCTGGGTTACTTGCAATGGTTGGTAGTGTAATGGGAATAGCTGAGTTAGCGAGGATACCTTTCACTTGGACAGGAACAGTTGAGCACGGTAGCTGAATCATCACGGATGCAATACCTTATTCAGGAAGAAAAGCAATTTTTTTTTTAATGACAACTCAAAAATAGAAAATATAGCACAACAGACCCATGCTGTAGATGGTAGTATACCACTCTTTGAAAATGGTCTAAGAAATGGCTATTTGATTGTTCTCTTTCTAATAGAGATCAGACACAGACTCACTTTCTACACAACATTACAGGTATTTCCCCTTCTCTTTAATTTAGGAATAGTAACATTCAACAGATTCTATTTATCTAATGATAAAAACAAATAGCTCTATTGATTTGATTACCATTTTGGTTGTATAATCAAGTATCGCTGTTTTATGTAATAGGTATAGTGCAGTGAGAATCTACCCTAGTCAGTAAAGTTGTAAAATTACAGAAAGAATTCTATAAAGGATACTACTGGTGAAGCACATAATTTCTTACAAGGAAAATTGTATTTTATAAACTGAAGTGCATAAATGAACAGAGGGATAGATTCAATAACAATTTTTAAATGGGCTTAAATTGCAACAAGGGAGGTTTAGATTGGACATTAGGAAAAACTTCCTAACTGTCAGGCTTGTTAAGCACTGGAATAAATTGCCTAGGGAGGTTGTGGAATCTCCATCACTGGAGATATTTAAGAGCAGGTTGGATAGACATCTATCAGGGATGATCTAGATATATGGTGCTTGGTCCTGCCGTGAGGGCAGGGGACTGGACTTGATGACTTTTCGAGGTCCCTTCCAGTTTTAGTATTTTATGATTCTTCCAGTAAACCTGCTCTCATGTTAGCTTACCTGGCTGTGTTGTAACTGTGTTGCTAGCAACTTGAGGCTTTAGCTCAGCTTGCAGGAGTGTGGAAGGAACAGTGGCTACCTGTCCTGGCATCAGGGAACTCTTCAGTGTAAGCACCTGCCCTTGTGGAGTCATCACTAGGCTGGCAGTAGTTAACGTAACAGGAGAGGATGTGGTTTCCACTGCATAAAAATACAAATAAAAACCCCACACTGAAAGTGATATTTCTGACACTGCATGCTTTACAGCCTTTAACCAATAGATACTTACTAGCTGACAACAGCTCTCTTTTGAGTGAATATCAATATTAGTGTCCTCAGCCCACTTTGCTAATTTGAACAGTTTTCTCAGCTAAAATCGGATAGCAACTGGCAAGCTCGGTTTATCTTAATTTCCCCACGTAGAAACCTCTGACCCCACTTATCCAATCACAGAGGAAGTTAATGTGATTTCTGTAAATTTCTAGACTTTCTTAAACTCTACCTTAAAATGTAAAACATACATAACCCTAATATACAGAAACATTCTTGCTTTGATTCTTTACCTTGACTGTGTCTGAAATTAATACATTTATAGCAAAATGGCTATACACAGCAGGCTGCTACTCCCTTCCCCCACCAAGATATCCAATGATTATGGTTACATTTTACTCACTGGTATCCTTAGTAAAAGTTATGGACAGATCACAGGCAGTAAACAAAAATTAATGGCCCGTGTCCTGTAAAGAACTTGTATTATATAACCCTGACAATCTTGGGTGCTCTAAGACAGGGGACAGCTCAGGGGTGCTGCGGGTGCTCTGGGGAGGGGAGGACTGGTGCAGCTGGCAGGCTTTTTGTTTGGCTCTATATGGCTCCCCAGAACTTTGCAATGAAGCCCTTGACTTATAGGTGGAGGTGTAGCAAGGGGGGCTCTGCATGCTGCCCCCACGCTGAGCTCTGGCTCTGCTGCTTCTACTGGCTGGGAACTGCAGCAAATAGGAATTGCGGGAGGGGGAGTGTCTGCAGCTGGAGGAGTGCACAGAACCATTTAGCACACCTTTGCCTAAGGACATGCTGCTACTTCTGGGAAGCCCCCCTAAGTAAGTGCCACTCAGAGCTCTCATTTCTTCCTATGCCCTAACTTCCTTCTTCAGCCACGAGCCCCCTTTCACATTCAATCTCTTGCTGCTGCTGCGCGAACCAGAAGGGGCAGTTCTGGTCTGAAACTGCCCCAGCAGTGTCCAATGCAGATGGCCCTGAGACTGCCAGAGCTGCTCAGTTGGACCCTAGACCAGTCACACAAGCCACTATAGAAATCATGAAGGTCACAGAAAGTCACAAAATCCATGACAGACTCACAGCCTTTCCAATGATATTTCCCGCCCCACCCCGTGTGAAAAGATCAAACATATCCCAACCTACCGGCAGCCTGGCCTCCTTTCCTCGCGAGTATTAATGGCTTCCCTCGCCTATTTGTCACAATCATTTGTCCCAACTCTTTGGAAGAAGTGGAGGATCCTTCTTGCTCTCTGCTGGGTTTCATGGTCACAACAGTCTCCTCTGGTTCAACTTGTTTCCTCTTCTTTTGTGCTTCTACCGCTTTCTGTTTGGCATAAATGTATTCTAACTTCTTCAGAACCACTTCTTCTGTCTTACCTACAAAAAAATTAACAGAGGGAGAGGGAGAGGGAGAGGGAGAGTCAAAATGTCCTTGGATTCTAATTGCTTCCAGGACTAAGAGTTGGAATGGAACCATACAGAACCAGCAGGTTTACCCCAATGCAATTTATTTTTTTGGTAGTTCACTCCCTTTACTCTCCAAAGAACAATCTACAGCGCATCACAGAAATAGGAAAATATATCTACTTTTACTCTCTTCAAGGAGAAAAAATAGATCTTAAAATTGGTCTTCAGCTTGTCTGCAGCTTTGATGGACAGAATTCAGACCTAATAACCAATGGCTCAGGGATGTCTCTCTCCCCGCTGGACAGGTTGCCAGTTGAGAACTTTCACTGCTACGATAAATACTGTGTTGTCCTTATCTACAACTACACTGACAGCTGGGGATAAGAACATTATTTATTTAGCTATGAATGGAGATCCTTCATCTTACCCAAAGTTGTTCAGACTTGTAGATCTTACTATTCAAAGAAAGGAAATTTTAGAGTAAGCTTAATATTTCTTAGAACAATAAGATCCACAGACTATACAATGGAATTTTATCAACTGTCTGTAGGCACGTTGAGAATTTATTTAGCAATTTAGTTATATGATCAAAACTCATATAACTATACACAGGACAACAAAGTGGGTGAAGTAATATCTTCTACTGGACATTCTCTATTGATGAGAACCACAAGCTTTGGAGCCCCAGAGAGCAGACCAACACAACTATAACCACACTACATATAACTGTGCACAGGCTGTCCCTCAAGTGACAGAGGTACTACAGAGTCAATACTATCATTTCAACTACAGCAAAAGATAAAGATTACCTATCAGCTCTGAAGCATATTATAAAAAGTCAGGCTATCTTGCAGATTTTTTAGGAACAGTAGGTCTCTACCCACATATTGCATTTATGGAGTGTGATCAGAGTTTACTAAAACGGCAATTTTTTTGCCTCATATGGCTCAAGTATAAACCACCATATCCACCTAGACATGTAAGACTATGAAAAACACTCTCTCCTTCCTGCTTACAGCCAATTGATTACAAATATTGGGCCTGAATGCTTTACTGTTTTAGATTTGTCTAGATACATTTTTTGTGTTAAGAGAGAAGGACTTTAGTCCTATCAGCCATAACTTACAAAATATGAAGTTGGCTTTACATACCTACGATGACTATTGGAATCATACCAAGAACTAATTTATCAACATGGAATGTGCAGTACTTGTGTTCTCAGGACAGTACTAATTCCATACTCCATCTGGCTGATGCAGTTATCATAAAAGCCACTTGATAGACAGAAAGTATAGGGACAGACCCTTTGGAAGGCTGAAAGGATGCCATGAAAGGCATCAGCACCAGACTAATGTCCAAAGATCAAACCCTGTTTGGCTATTGAGGATATACAAGAAAGGCTCTTTGGACAAAACTCTGTTTCTGAAGGCAGTGAAATATTCTTCCCTTTGGATAGCTCCAGTGTACTGGACACTAGGATCCTAATGGTCTGCAGCAGGAAGGTATGTCCACATTTCCTTTACCTGTGGAGCTGAAACAAAAGTAGTATGTCTCCTTAACAGGAGAGTTGTCTCCCTAAGCTAGTGGCTGACAGGTCTAAATGCTGTCCTCAAAGCTGCACGTGAGCTGAAGATCCACTGTAGAACCTGTGGCCCTTACTGCTTGAAGAAATAAATACTTTTCTGTGTTTATGACAATGTACTTTATACTATCACAGATACACCCTATCCCAAAAATCAGTCTTCTTTTCTTACAATCTGTGGACCAGATTCTCAAAGGTATTTAATGAAAGTTAGGTCCCTAAGTATCTTTGAGGAGCTAATACTAAATCTTTTATCTGCACATTCTACCACTTATGTACCTATCCCCTAAGTGACACCCTAGTCCTTCCCAGCCCTGTAAGTTCTTTCTTTCACTCCTCTAACCACTATGTCCCCTTAAACCACCTCACCTGAAAGTGTGGATACTTTACGAATCAGACTGTCTTGTTTGCGAGTCAGTAAGTTCTTCTGCCCAATCAGTTTATCTGCCTGATCAGTCAGCCCCTGGATCTCTTCATAGGCCTAGAAGCATGTCAGAAACACCAGGTTAGAGACCAAGCTAACGCATACAACACAGAAATAAAAGTAGCTCTCCTTTCCCAGTCAAAAAAGGCATTTTAAAAGTCTCCCTACGGACATTTTCCATCTTTACTTTAAGAAATCAGGAGACAGAAAAGGAAGTTCAGTGACCATGTTGTATTGTTTCTCTGAATGCAACTGAAAGGGACCATTGCAATAATTTATTCTGACCTTTTGTACAACAAAAGCCACAGAACTTCCCCAAAATAACTCCTACATCATATATTTCAGAAAAACACCCAATCTTGATTTAAAAATTCTCAGTGATGGAGAATACATCATGATCCTTGGTAAATTGTTGTTGGTAAATAGTTGTTAATTATTCTTGCTGTTAAAAAGCAGGGTTGTGTAAGTATAATTGATTAATCGATAAGCTATGCTATCGACTTTACACATTTAAATGCAAAGATGCAGCAGGGGACCTACCGCTGCTGCGGCTCTGCATTTAAAACATACCACAAGCCAGGTAACCAGATAGCCCAGCTCAGTCCTGGCTTGCACAGATCTGGGGCCAAACCACAGTGTCTCTCTGCATTTAAAACATAGCAGGAGCCAGGCGAGCAGGCAGCCAGGCTCAGTCCCAACTCACACCAGTCCAGGACCAAACTATGTTGCAACTCTGCATTTAAAATTTAATAGGAGGTAGGTGGGCAAGGCAGACTAGCTCCTACTTTTTAAATGCAGAGTCGCAGTGGGGTTAGGTCCCAGACCCAGCGCGACGCAGGACTGAGCCCTTTAGCGGCCTTCCCTTATCGACTAATTGTGTAGTCGATAAAAATTCTACTGACTACACCATTAGCAAACTACAAACTACCCACTTCTTAATATCCCTATTAGAAAGTTATATTGTTTTTCCAGTGTGATTTTGTCTTGCTTAACTTTCCAGTCATTGGATCATATTATCCTTTTCTCTCCAAGATTAAGAATTATGCAGGCATGTAACACTATACTCAAGTCCCCACTCAACCTTTTCTTTATTAAACTAAATAGATTAATCTTCTTCAGTCTACCATTATAAAGCACCTTTTCTAACCATTTTGACTTTAATCATTTCCATGGTTCCTCTCTGAATCCCATCCAATTTATCAGCATCCTTCTAGAACTGTGGACACGAGAATTGGACAATACTCCAGCAGCACTTTCACTAATGCTAAATACAGAGATAAAATAACTTCACTATCCTACTTCATATTTTCTGTTTATATATCCAAGCTCTATTGGCCATAGTGTCACACTGGAAACTCATGTTCAGAGATTATCCACCACTTCTAAAACGTTTTCAGTTACTACTCCCCAGAATAGAGTTCCCCATCCCGTAAGTATGGCCTGAATTCTTTGCTACTAGAAGTATACATTTACATTTAACCATATCAAACTGCATATTGTTTGTTTGCATCCAGTTTGCCAAGCGATCCGTATCACACTGTCTCAGTGGCATGTCCTTTCCATTATTTACCACTGCTCCAATTTTTTTCTTACCTGCAATCTTCATCACTGATTATTTTGTTTTCTTCCAGGTCTTTAATAAAAATGTCAAGAACCAATCCCTGCAGAACCCCACTAGAAACAATGATTTGATGATAAGTCCCTACTTACAATTACATTTTAAGTCCTATCAGTTAGCCATCTTTCAATTCATTTAACGTGTGCCATGTTAATTTGACATCTAATTTTTTCAAACTGCCATGTAATACCAAATCAAATGCATTACAGAAGATTTACGTATATTACATCAACGCTTTTACCTTTACCAATCAAACTTGTAACTTCATCAAAAAGATATCTAGTTTGACAGAATCTGTTTTTCATAAACGTACGTCTAACAGGTAATTGACAAAGCCCAAGGAATGTAATATACAGATAAATGTAATTATTTATGGCTTTGATTACGTGCTGGTTGTTTCCTTTCATTTACAGTTTTCTATCTAAATCCTATGTTGAAATAAAATATTTCACAAAGAACTTTATTTTCTTACCTTAGGGAGATTTGTCTTCAATGTATATTATTCTAACTGCCTAGCTGTCCAATTTAAACTTGCCAAGGCAATTACTTTCGAGCGTTAAATTCGCAAAGAAGCAGTGGAAGATAGGGGAGCGCATCCCATTAAACCCTAAAGTTTATCTCTGGAGTGAATTCATTTCTCCTCAAATTACTTTATTGTGAAACGATTGCATAGAGGAGAAAAGCATTTCTGCACTCACATCTAAAATATTTCTCATATCATTACAATGTTTTTCAGACCTGATGCCAGTTTGCCCCACATTAAAGGAATTTTTCTCCATATGATTTGAGCTGTAAAATACCTACTTGTTTTAGGATGTAGCACTTGGAGACCTTGGGGAGGCTATGCAGTCCTAGTGCTCTTTTTAGCTTTTCAAAAAGATCTCTCATTTCATTGCGACGTCGGCGTTCATTTGCTGTATGTGTTTGGCGGTAATGAGCAAAAGCCTCTGCCTCATTCTTCTGCTTTCTGCTCCAGAATTGGGGTTTCTATTGGAAAAGAAGCCATGTGTTAATTTCAAATAAAGAACTAACAGAGTGGAAAATGTCAGTCTGACTTACACAGTCATTAAGACACATTTCTGTGTTAGTCATAACATTCCCTGATACAACTTCATTTATCTTCATGAAAAAGATTTCTAAAAGCACAAAAACACTACAGGATGTAGAGAATATAATGAAAGGAGGCCAGAATGTCAGAGACATCACTTGAAGATGAAAATCCAGCAACCATTTCCACTCCAAGGCATTCAGAAGAGAACAGCTTTTCATATATGGATACACTACAAGATGTATCTGGCCTGGGGTAGAGCAGGGCTATGCCGGTTGCCTGAAGGCTTCTCCCAACGGCCGAACCAAGGGAGTGGTGCAGGAGACCACATAAGCTCAATCAGTGGTTGCTCCCTGGGGGCAGCCCAAGGGCAGCATGGGGCTGCTCTCCAAAGCTGGGATGCTTGCTGTACCCTCTGGTCATTTGTGAGTTTATCTGTTCCCCATGTTTGCTTCCCCCCCCAGTCATTCATAACTGCTCCTGAAATCACACAATTCCCTTTCCTTTTGGTAAGAATCACAGTCTAGGTGCATCCCACTGTCTTGGCACAACCAAACCCTGACTTTGCTTTATTTATGATAAGGGGAAGCTGCTGTAGAAGCTATTTTATGTTTAGCTAGAAACCATTTTGTATATCAGAAACAGAAAGGAACAAGAAATGTACATAAATACTTTAATGGAAAATAGAGGTATAAAATGGTTTCAAGGTTAGCCTTTAAAATGATAAGGGGAAGCTGCTGTAGAAGCTATTTTATGTTTAGCTAGAAACCATTTTGTATATCAGAAACCATTTCAGCTTTTCTCTCAAGCACGTAGACCAGAGTGAACTTTCTGTCACCCCGTGAGAAGAGGCCTACAGGATGGGCTATTGGTATGTGTTAATTGGGCTGGTTGGGACAGGAGATGTACTCCCTCGTACCTGTCCGCCATCTTGTTGATAAGGCTTTGTTTTTCCAAATTTAATTGAGGATTTCTGTAATTGGATGCCCTGACGTCAGACTGTTTGGCTAAGGGTATAAAGATACTAGGATTGATTGTATTAGCAGCTTTACTGGGCCCGACTTTGCTGGGACCACGTTTGGCTCACTTTGCTTTACTGATCAATAAAGCAAATCAATTGTTAGCCGCCTAAACAGAGAGGAGCGTGTTTTTGCTTCGACACTGCCTACCAAATTTGGTCATAGCTCTTACTGCTTAGGAGGCATTCTTGAACAAACGGATTCACAGGCAAAAGGACAGACAGATGCACAAACTCTCTAAACCGTATAATAGGTTATATATCTTCACAGACATATTGAAATACAAAGCTTGACTTATAATAAACAGTAAATTTGTTTGAACATGGAAGAATGGGGACAAGAAGGCACTTTAGAAAGGACTGTGTGTGCAAAGGGGAAGGGTAATAATAAGCAAATTAAATGTAAGAAAAAGGAGGTTACTCACCTTCCTGTAACTGATGTTCTTTGAGATGAGTGTCCCTGGGGGTGCTCGACATGAAGTGTTGAGCGCTCAGAGCTTCCCGACGGATCTCTCTCTCAGCAATGTATCAGGGGCCGCGCATGCACAATCCTCCCTCAGTACTATAACGCATGCACAGCTCCCCTCCCTTCAGTTACTTCTCTATCTGGAACCCGGCAAATAATGTATTATAGATGTTATCATAAGGGCGTTCCTCAGTAGAGGGGAAGAAGGGAGGGTAGTGGAGCTCCTCATATGGAGCACCCCCAGGGACGCTCATCTGAGTAATCTCCTTTCCTTAGTCGAGAAGCGTCCCTGGGGGTGCTCCATATGAGGTGACTTCAAGCAATATTTTCTTATGGAGGTAGGGACTTCGGATCAGGTAAATATGCCATTTGTAGTACAGCTTTTGCTAGTTTGGTATGCTGAAGGGGTCCTGAGGTGAGAGCATAATGTTTGCAAACGTGTTTTCTGATGACCACATGGCTGCTGCGCATGTGTCATGTAGTGGGATTTTCCTTAGGTAAGCCACGGATGCAGCAACTGCCCTTGTGGAGTATGTCCGAATCGGAACTGGCAGAGGTAGGTCATTTAGTGAATGACAGGTAGCAATGCAATCTGAGATCCAATGTGACAACCTCTGTGATGAAATTTGTTTTCCCTTGCTATGATCTGCGATGGAGACGAAAAGACGAGGAGAGGATCTGAAAGATTTTGTTCTGTCGATAAAGGAGAGAGAGCCCTTCTGACATCTAGGGTGTGTATCTGAACTTCAAAAGCATTAGCGTGGGGGTTTGGAAAGAATACTGGTAAGTATATTGTCTGATTCAGATGGAAAGGGGAGCGCACCTTGGGGAGGAATTTTGGGTGCGGTCACATCATGACCTTGTCCTTAAAAAAATATGGTGAAAGGTGGTTCTGCCATCAGGGCAGCCAACTCGCTCACTCTGCGGACTGATGTTATTGCTACCAAAAATGCCGTCTTTAAGGATAAATGGCGTAGGGAACATGTTGTCATGGGTTCAAATGGCGGTTTTGTGAGGGCGGTTTTTTTAGTACCAAGTGTAAGTCCCAAGGCTCTTGAGGGGGTGCCACCTCTGGGTACAGAGCCTGAAGACCTTTCAAAAATCGCTTAGTTACTGGGTGTGCAAAGACTGTGGTGTCTTCCACTGTTGTGTGAAAGGTTGCAATGGCTGCTAGGTGGACCCTGATTGAACTGAGGGAGAGATGTGATTGTCTGAGGTGTAATGTATTCCAGTATATCAGGAAGTGGAGCGTCTTGAGGTCGTATGTTACGAGAGGTTGCCCAGAAAACAAATCGAGTCCATTTGCTCATGTATGTTTTTCTTGTTGCAGGTACTCTGCTCTGTAAGAGGACATCACATACTTGTTGAGAGCACTGCAGTTCTATGCCCGTGAACCATCTAGGTACCACGCCTTGAGATGGAGTGTGCAAAACTGGGTGAGTATACATGATCCCTGGCTTATAAAGAATGTTGGGATCGTTTGGAAGCATGACTGGTTGATGTATTGCTAGCCTGAGAACAAGGGGAAACCATGGCTATCAGGGCCAGCAGGGTACAATGAGGATAACTTTGGCGTTCAGAATCTTTATGAGGACTCTATTGAGGAGAGGAAATAGGGTAAAAGCATAATGTAGGAGTACATTCCAGGTTAGCCCTCAGTTCAACGGCCGATGTCCTCAGCAGAGCTCTGCCACAAGAGCACGAATGGGAACTCGACTATACGCTCCGTAGTGACATAGTCAACCGATGGGGTTTCCCAGATATAGATCTATGTCACTAAGGAGCGTATAGTCGAGTTCCCATTCGTGCTCTTGTGGCAGAGCTCTGCTGAGGACATCGGCCGTTGAACTGAGGGCCCCAGGAAAAGTGGAATTGGTGTCTAGCCCGAGACATTCACATATCCGCTTCCCAAGTGCTATAGTTTCCAGGCATAGGGTGTGTGACCGCGAACCGCTTTGCCTGTTTATATAGAACATGCACGCGGTGTTCTCTGTATATGTTTTTACATGTATCCTCGTGACATTGGGTAACAGTTGTTGGCATGCCAGGTGAACTGCCCTGAGTTCGAGGGCATTGATGTGGAGCATGAGGTCTGTTGGAGACTACAGGCCGTGTGCTGTGCGGCCTTCTGTATGGGCACCCCAACCCGTAAGGGATGCGTCTGTAGTGACAACTACAGAGGGTTCCAGAGTTCGAAAGGGAATGCCTATGCACAGGTTGCATGATTTTGTCCACCTGTGTAGGGATGCTTTCACTGGGTGTGGTAGTGTAATCATTTTGTTCATATGATGGATGTGCGGCTTGTACTTGCTTCGAAGCCAACCCTGGAAGCATCTCATAAAGAGACGTGCATTTGGGACCACAGGATTGCATGATGCCATTAGACCTAATGGTTGAAGGCAGTCGTAAACCCTTACTACTGGCATATCTTGAAGGGATTTTGCCAGTTGACTGATGCGAGTGAATCTGTCTGTCGGTGAAGAGGCTCTGGCTGTGAACGAACTGAGTTGAGCGCCAATGAATTGGATTGTTTGGGGTGGCATAAGTGTTGATTTGCCATAATTTATTAGAAAGCCTAATGAGTGAAGACAAGTTATCGCAGTAATGATATCTTGGTAACAGTCTTGACTGGTCCTTGCTTTGATAAGGCAATCGTCTAAGTATGGGTAAATCGTGATTCTTTACTTTCTGAGGTGAGCAGCGACAGCTGCTAGCATCTTCATGAATACCTTTGGTGCAGTACAGAGTCCAAAGGGGAGTACCGTGTACTGGTAATGTTGGAGACCTAAAGTAAAACGGTGAAAACGTCTATGAGAGGGGCGAATGGATACATGAAAATATGCGTCCTGCAGGTCGAGAGAAGAAAACCAGTCACTAGGCTCCAGAGTTGGGATAATAGTATTTAGAGTGACCATTTTGAATTTTTGTTTCCTTATGTATTTATTTAGTAACCGAAGATCAAGGATCCGTCTCCAACCACCTGTCTTCTTTTCTACAAGAAAATAATGTGAGTAGAATCCGGTTCTGTGGAACTCTTGCAGTACTGTTGCTATACGTCTTACTTCAAGAAGGTGGTCAACTTCTTGTTGTAATATGATTTCGTCCCTGAAGAGGGAGGTTGGGAAGGGGGAGAAGAGAGAAAAGCGATGGTATAAACCTAGGGAGACAGTTTGAGTTACCCACTTATCAGGGGTAATACATACCCAATTTGAAAGGAAAGGTAACAAGCGAAAAAGGAAAGGTTTAGAACGAGTATCAAGCTCTGATGCATGTGGTGTAGTTTTACTTCTCTCGACCGTTGTTTCAAATTTGCTTTCTGGGTTGGGAAGGACTATTGGGGTTATTAGTCTGAGGGCAATGCCTATGCTGCCTGCTGCAACCCCTCTGTTGGTACGGGGCCTGGTCTTGCCTCTGGTACTGGTAAGTGAATTGTTGGTAGTTATGTCTCTGATATGGTTGGTACCTGTATTGTCGGTCTCGTCATAGAGTTTTGGATACTGAGCGACCGCAATATGGCTCTGGACTTTCATCGATTGAAGCAGTTCGTTGGTCTTTGCAGAAAACAG